AAAAAAAAAGTTTTTAATTCAGGCTGTAACAACAAAATATGGAATAAGTCAAGAGGTATGAATACTTTCTGAAGGCACTTTATTACAATAATGTTTGGCAATAAAACTGTTAATGGAGAGTGCCACAGCAATACAGTCATTTCAATCCAATTACAAACCTGCTTGCACCCATATTCCACTCTAAAAAAATATTCTGAATCTCTCACATTTGCATAGAACAGGCTGCATTTCATAAATGGGCTTTGTTTGCATACTTAAGCTGTCCCATAACTACTGCCTACTGTTAGTGTTATGACAAACTTAAGACGTAGCAAACATAAGGAAAGGCATGGAGAAGCAGGTGTTTCTTAAAACCACAGGGAATTGGGAGTCAAACAGTACAGCATCACTACAGAGACTGGCATGTGGATAGAAAGGTTTGAGTAGAAAGGGAACAGATGGTATTCCACAGAGGTATAGAGGAAGCATGACCGAGGGAGTGGGTGCGGGAACGAGGCCGAGGGAGCGGGTGCAGGACCGGGGGAGCGGGGACTAGACCGAAGAACTGAGGGAGGGGGGAGAGGGGACGAGACCGGGGGAGTGGAGCCAAGACCGGGGGAGTGGGGGAGGGAGAGAGAGAGGGGACGAGACCGGGGGAGCGGAGCCAAGACCGGGGGAGTGGGGACGGGACGAGACCAGGGGAGCGGAGACCGAGGGAGTGGGGGAGAGGAGACGAGACCGGGGGAGGGGGGACGAGACCGAAGGACCGAGGAAGAGGGGACGAGACCGGGGATGAGACCAGGGGAGCGGGGACGAGCCCGAAGGAGCGGGGACGAGACCAGGGATGAGCCCGAAGGAGAGGGGACGAGACCAGGGATGAGCCCGAAGGAGAGGGGACGAGGTAGACACTGGCAGATAGGAACACTGGGCTTCAATCACCAAGGACAGGTCCTGTACATGCAAGCACAACTATTCAGGAACTAAGGCAATCTGCTGTGTTTTAAATTGTCAATGCTGGCTGAGTTGAGAACAAAAAATTCAGTTGGAGAGTGTTCGTTTGTGTGGGGGTGCAAAATGAATTAAATGAGCATGTGGGCTAGAAGAGAAAATAATGGAAGTAGTATGAGACCGTATCAAGGCTGTGACCACACCCCTACATGTTCTTAAGAGGCTCTGTGTAGAGCGGTCACCATGGAAACCAGACAAAAAAAATAGATATTTCATTTCATTAGCACTTTCAGTTATTCTTGTTTTATTTTCTGACCTTATCAAAACTCCCTGTGCTAGCTTCCCTTGACCTGAGCTTTCTAATTGAATGACAACCAACTAAAAAACACTTATCCACCAACTATCTACTCACAATCACATCAAAATATGTTGAGATTTGTTACTGCTTAAAAATCCTTCTTTAACCCGTTAATAACGGATCATAGCTTTCACCTGGTCAGTCTTATGGAAAGAGCAGGTGTTTTCATAACTCCGTGTCTATAGCCGACATCTCTACGTACTGGATGTTCCATTCAGATACAAGAGTGGTAATTATAACCACGCCTTGACAAGCACATGTATCAATATTCTAATGTATTGTTGAAGAATGAATTTATTACCGTAGTATTCTAGTGAAAAAAATCTATTTCATATCTCAAATCCTAACTAAGTCTACCCCAAAGCATGTTTCACACTGATATTTTGGTCCACAGCTTATTCCTGAGATAAAGGGCTGGAACACACTATTTTAATGAAGTTGTAATCAAGTTTCCTAAAATAACCGCAGATTACTAAAATTGGGGGATGCTTTAAAATTACAATAGATCAAAGTGATCATACATTTGCCAAGAGTTGCTCTCTGAACGGATTTTCTCTCATGAATGACTCGAGTATGGGGAAGGTGCTATTTAGTCAGGTGATAGTAAAGGTATAAGGGTGAACATTATCCTCATTAGATAAGTCATGGACTTGTCAGATGTGGGATATCCATAGATAAATCATAGGATTATAGAAGAACAGGAGAATCATTGAGCCTTAAAATGTACTCTACACTTCATTTATAGATAAGACCAACAAACTAATCCGTTTAAAAATTCTAATGGATAAATTGAAAATCCCTTTGACATGAAAAGCTGGACCCTAGTGGAAACGCATGCTGAAGGACTTAACGCATCTGATAACCAATCAATCAATGCGCATGTGGGAGCAGTCTGACAGTGAACCACCACTGGCAGGGTTTTGTTTTCGTTAGGAGAGCAGGTTTCTAGAAGTGCCTGCATAGCCAAATGTTCTCCTCATCGCCGCTCCTCTTCATTCCTCACTGCCATATGATTGAACAGATGGAGAGAAATTCTGTCCCTCACTCACACCCTGGGACTAAACACCTCCCTCTGCAACTGGATCCTGGACTTCCTGACGGGCTGACCCCAGGTGGTAAGGGTAGGTAACAACAATCCTCAACACAGGGGCCCCTCAGGGATGCGTGCTCAGTCCCCTACTGTACCCTCTGTTCACTCATGACTGCATGGCCAGGCACGACTCCAACACCATCATTAAGTTTGCCGATGACACAACAGTGGTAGGCCTGATCACTGATAACAACGAGACAGCCTATAGGGAGGAGGTCCTGGCCTGGCCGTGTGTATTTGTATTTGAATTTCTTTCTCTCGCTCTCCCTCCCTCACACAGAGACCAATGGTAATGTAGTCATATTTTCCATTCTGTTAAACTATTGACAGAGCAGATGGGGTGGGAGACTGGTCACCGTAGTGTCTGTCTGGGTATCAGACTGGATGGATGAGTTCACGCAGTTCAACAGCAGGCGATCCCAAATTGCAGGCCACAGGTCTTTCTTCTCTCCCTCAAACATACCAAACTCCTCCCACCCCCTGCCTCCCTCTTTCATCCCTAAAAACAGACAGCAAAAAAGGCAATACAAGCACTTGCAAAATACAGCTAACTCAAGGGTGCACATGACAGGCACACCAGCTAGTGTGTACACAACATCTAATAAGCTTATCACACACAGGATGGGGAAATCGGTGGGATGCCACTGTCAATAGTAATTGTTTTCAGATCAAAGTAATTGCTTCCACCTCAAGATAAACAAAAAAAGTCAGCTTGATTGCAATCAGGAAATTCTTCAATTGCATATTATTAGGGCGTTTTAGCACAGTGCTGAGCTATAGTTCGAATCAGAGTTCGATTATTTGTTACATTGTATTTTTTCCCCCCCACTTGGTCTGGTTGGTTTCACATTGTCAAACGAACTAACATGCCTAAACAAAACCATGTGTCTATGCAAGTCATTTGTTTATTGGACAAAAATGCACACATTAAATTAATCTGATTATCATGAAGCATCACTTGCGTGTCCCAATCTTCATATTACTGTAATGACACGGGCTGGTTGTTTACGAAGCATGTGACAAAAATAAAATGTGATTTGATGTAGAGTTGAGTATTGATAACTGGTCGCGCCATTTGCTAACAACAACATTGACACACCATCCGAAGATACTTGTAAAAATGTCAATTCTGAAAACGCGTACCTGTAGCCTACTTATGTATGTCCTGTACAACTGTGGATCTTCCGCAGGGTGCCTCAATTCATAATAAAAACCTATCGAATACAACCACCAACGTTTTACTAATTTGTGTTGCTCAACTGGAGACGTAGCGGCCTTAACGTAATACGTAAACCGATTCAATTGGCACATGCGCCGAGCAACACAAATGAGGAAAAAGTCAGTGGTTGTATTCTATAAAGGTTTTTATTCAAAGTATGAATTTCAGCACCCCGCGGAAGGACCGCAGTTGTACAGGACAAACATAGGTGCTGGTACGCGTTTTTAGACTTGACATTTTTACAAGTATCGACTGACGGTGACTCAATGTTGCTGCAAGCAAATCACGCGACCAGTTATCAATACTCAACTCCGCCTCGATATAAGATAACGGAGTTCAGCGTTCCTCAGCTACCGTTTCCCCCAATCTGCATAAATGTGCTACTATAGGCCTACTCGCAGAATGTTTCAGAGATCTACTTATGATGCAGCATGCACTTCATCAAATGCTCGCAGTCAATCAACCAATAATACTGCGCAACTTTTTCCCTGTGTTTGGTCCAGACTGCCATCTCACCTGCAGCGAACCACACCACGGTACGAATTTAATCGGACCGAGACCACCCTTTTTGAGCCACGGTGCATTGTTTAATGCGCTCCCAAGTGCAGATAGTGTTCACACCAGTTCAAACCAACCGAACTAAGGGGGTAAACGCACCAGAGTTCGGAAAAAACGCTCTGGTGTGAAAGCCCCTATACTGGTGATCTTTATTATCAGTGGGAGTGGCAGTCCCAGGAGTTTACTACTAGTGGCAGCCGCCCCTGGCCATCTGTGTTGTTGAATGCTGCCATCTAGTGTGCCAATCGGTAGCCTGCAGATGGAATTACATCCCACTGCTTTAATTAGGCTCCAGTCTTTTACTTTGATCCTTTCTTCCTTCCCTGTAGGACACTTATTCATCGAAATGGCTCTTTCGGTTTCTAAATCCCTTTCTTAAACTGCAATATTCCGCTCAAGGTTTTCATCCTCCTCCCACACGTCTCCACTGCCCCTGAGCACAACACAGAATGAGAGCACCCATTTGGAACAGCTCAGTAGCTTATAATTGACTTTAAAACACATTATGCTTTGAGGGCCTTGCCTTTCTACAAAAAAAAAAAAAGAACAAACACCTCAGCTACACAGACTGGGAGGGAATGAAGGTAAGAATGAGGGAGAGGACATGTTTCACTATGAGCGGTCTTGAATAAAAAGGCCAAGAACAAACAAACTCAGAGTTTCTCAACTTTCATCCTTGATGTTTATGGTGTCATGGCTCTGTGAGAAGTGCTTTTGCAAAGTACAACAGACTAAAACTCCACTCAATTCAGACAATAATCATCTGATATGCCATTCAAAACAGCAAATACATACAGCTCAGCCATTTGAAAGGCAGCAGTGCCAAAATTCTAAACATTCAAAAAATTCTAACTGAAAGGAATATGAGGTTTCAGCTCTACACTCCCTATTAAAAGAATGTGCGCGCGCGTTGCATCCTGTACCTGTCTGGCCAGGTTGACAGAGTCAGCGGTGAGTCTGTCTCGGAGGTGGGGGTCCAGCTGTACAGCCGGGGCGATCTCCACCACCTTCTGGTGCCTCCTCTGGATGGAGCAGTCCCTCTCATAGAGGTGGATAACATTACCATACTTATCACCTGGTAGAGATGGGATGGCAATGTGATTAGATCTACTGTATACATCACTTTTAAAAAGACTCAACAAAAATAGTCTATCAAACAAACTCACCTAGGATCTGCACTTCAATGTGTCTGGGTCTCTCAATGAACTTCTCCACGAACAGAGCACCGTTCCCAAACGCAGCCAGGGCCTCAGAATATGCGCGCTGATAGTTCTCCTCCAGCTCCTACACACGTCGACCGACGGGATCAACAAGTCAGCCAGCACAAAGACAAAACACTCAGATTGGAGCCTCTACTTAGGCCCAGATATTTCTACTCACCTCGTACTCTTTGACCACCCTCATTCCCCTGCCCCCACCACCGTAGGCAGCCTTGAAGATGATGGGAAAGCCATAGGTGTTGGAGAACTCCTGGGCCTCCGATAGGCAAGTGATGGGGCCGTCTGTCCCTGGTACCACTGGGACTCCTGAAAGCAAAATCAAACAATATGAGCTTAGCTGAGCTTAACTAAATGGTTAACTTAACAGTACACAATGTCAGCTGTATGTTTGATGATTTTGCTGAAAAAATTAAAAACAGAAAACGCCCATGAAAACAAACATCCATCAGACAGTTCTGAACATGACAGTGAGTGAGTAGGGGTCCGGCCTACCTGCACGGATAGCGATGGATCGAGCCTCCACCTTGTCTCCCATCTTGCGCACCACTTCAGGGGAAGGGCCAATGAAGCGTACCCCAGCATCGACACATGCCTGAGCAAAGTCTGATCGCTCAGACAGGAAGCCATACCCAGGATGGATTGCATCCACATCATTTTCCTGAGAAAAATTATAAAACACGAAATGAAAAACTTGTGGAAAGACAGTATAAAGGTGTGATCTTAAAATGCAGTAACAGTTGGTTCAGAAAAGTTTCAACAATACATATTCACATCTCTGACCTTAGCCACTTTGATGATGTCAGGGATGTCCAGGTAGGCAGCCACGGGCGGCAGGCCCTTCCCTATGAGGTAAGCCTCATCCGCCTTCTGCCTGTGCATCTGGCCTGTGTCCTGTTCAGAGTAGACAGCCACTGTCCGGATCCCCAGCTCAGTGCACGCCCGGAACACACGGATGGCAATCTCACCTACAAGTAGTTGGATTAGTCAGCTGTGATCATGCGGCCTCAGGAAAATATGATAATGTGGTGAGAGGAAACTAACTACAACACTTTGGCTGACATTTCAGTGTTTTTATAGTGTCAGAATTACCAAGGTGGGCGAATTGTTACTGTACCTCTATTGGCCACCATGACCTTTTTGATGGGCTTGTACTCCAGAGTCTGAGGGGAGTTGTGGGTGGAGCGGGACAGGCAGCATGCCCTCCTGACAGCCAGCAGCCCCAGGGCCGAACGCATGCCTCCAACGTGTAGCAGCATCTACACAGGGGAAGGACAGGAAGGAGAAGAAGAACAGGAAGGAAGGGTGTGGTTAAGGAGTAAACAGACAGCCCATGCATGATGAAACACAGGTCCTGACCTATATACAGTAGTATGGAGTCTGACTTAACGGACGGTAAAAATGTAAAACTTGTCAAGGAGATAACCTGTAGCTGTAAAGCAGACACATTTTGCGATAAGATGCAGACAACTAATAGCTCATGATAAGATAAGCCTAACACTTCCTTTTGCTTTACCTTGGAAGGAATTTGGGAATACTAGATACATTTTAGTCATTTAGCAGACGCTCTTATCCAGAGCGACTTACAGTTAGTGAGTGCATACATTTTCATACTGGCCCCCCGTGGGAAACGAACCCACAACCCTGGCGTTGCAAGCGCCATGCTCTACCAACTGAGCTACAGGGGACTAAACTGTAGAAATATCAGTTGTATCTAAAAACATTTGCTCCAAACCTTTTTTTTTGCCTTTAGTGTGTGTCATTTACTGCATTTATACTTGAGATATGTCTGCCACCCAGACAGCTGGCGTCGGGTAAGTTTGGCTTTATACATAGCTTGGGCTTTGTCGAGTAAGGCTTAAGCTATGTATTTAGATTGTAGTTAGGTACTATAGGTAGGCATCGTGGGCTGTATATTATTAGGTATTATAGGTAGGCATCGTGGGCTGTTGTGGGTAGTTATTGTAGGTTAGCATTGTATTCGGCGGTGCCGGGTGTAGCACGAAGCTAGCTAGCTAACTCACCTCCTGGACTAGCTGGCGAGTAGCTATTAGCAACGGTAGCAACTAAATACAATATCCTTTTAGCCAGCTACATTTGTTCGCAGCGCCGCCGTTATTCAAACAAAGTCAACACAGCAGCCATTGCTAGCTAGCCAACACGACCAGCTAGCTGTACTGTAGCAGCTAAATACTATATATTTGTGCTAGCTAGCCAACGTTTAATTATTGCTGCGTTATGAAAGGAACTAGACACGGACACGAATTATCTGTTTAGTGTGTTAACACACTATTGGTAGTTTGTTGTAACCAAGTATTGGTGCTAAACTGTGTGTTATTGGATGCTAGCATGCTAGTTAGCTATAGCGTCATAGTTAGCTAGCTGAATAAAGTAAGTTGAGTCTATTCCTTGAAACATTGAACCGCTGTAGTTCACAACAATTCTAATTTCTAAAGTGGAAGTTGGGAGAGTTTTATTCGGGTGGTTCAGTGAAACAATTATAGTTTCTGAGGTGAAGTTGGGAGAGTTATATTTGGGAGTTTTGGTTTTTACTCTCTCCTTTCCCAGATGTTTAGTTCATTTCATTCCGATCTCCTCTGCATTATTGTAGCCATTTGCTACAGCCTGTCAACTATGCCTATCCCTGTTCTCTCCTCTCCGCACAGGCTACACAAACGCCTCACACCGCGTGGCTGCTGCCTCTCTAACCTGGTGGTCCCTGCACGCACCCCACACCTGGAGTTCCAGGTCTCAGGCAGCCTCTGGAACTGCCGTTCTGCTGCCAACAAGGCTGACTTCATCCCAGCCTATGCTACCCTCCAGTCCCTCGACTTCCTGGCGCTGACGGAAACATGGATTACCACTGAAAACACTGCTACTCCTACTGCTCTCTCCTCGTCTGACCATGTGTTCTCGCATACCCCGAGAGCATCTGGTCAGAGGGGTGGTGGCACAGGAATCCTCATCTCTCCCAAGTGGACATTCTCAATTTTTCCCCTAACCCATCTGTCTATCTCCTCATTTGAATTCCATGCTGTCACAGTCACTAGCCCATTTAAGCTTAATATCCTTGTCATCTATCGCCCTCCAGGTTCCCTTGGAGAGTTCATCAATGAGCTTGACGCCTTGATAAGTTCCTTTCCTGAGGATGGCTCACCCCTCACAGTTTTGGGGGATTTCAACCTCCCTACGTCTACATTTGACTCATTTCTCTCTGCCTCCTTCTTTCCACTCCTCTCCTCTTTTGACCTCACCCTCTCACCGTCCCCCCCTACTCACAAGGCAGGCAATACGCTTGACCTCATCTTTACTAGATGCTGCTCTTCTACTAATCTCACTGCAACTCCCCTCCATGTCTCCGACCACTACTTTGTATCCTTTTCTCTCTCGCTCTCCTCCAACACTACTCACTCTGCCCCTACACAGATGGTAATGCGCCGCCGCAACCGTCGCTCTCTCTCTCCCACTACTCTCTCCTCTTCCATCCTATCATCTCTTCCCTCTGCTCAATCCTTCTCCCTCCAATCTCCTGATTCTGCCTCCTCAACCCTCCTCTCCTCCCTTTCTGCATCCTTTGACTCTCTGTGTCCCCTATCCTCCCGGCCGGCTCGGTCCTCCCCTCCAGCTCCGTGGCTTGATGACTCATTGCGAGCTCACAGAACAGAGCTCCGGGCAGCGGAGCGGAAATGGAAGAAAACTAAAGTCCCTGCCGACCTGGCATCTTTTCACTCCCTCCTCTCTACATTTTCTTCATCCGTTTCTGCTGCTAAGGCCACTTTCTACCACTCTAAATTCCAAGCATCTGCCTCTAACCCTAGGAAGCTCTTTGCCACATTCTCCTCCCTGCTGAATCCCCCCCCCCCCCCCCCCCCCCCCCCCCCCCCCTCCCTCTCTGTGGATGACTTCGTCAACCACTTTGAAAAGAAGGTTGACGACATCCGATCCTCGTTTGTTAAGTCTAATGACACTGCTGGTCCTGCTCACACTGCCCTACCCTATGCTTTGACTTCTTTCTCCCCTCTCTCTCCAGATAAAATCTTGCGACTTGTGACTGCAGGCCGCCCAACAACCTGCCCGCTTGACCCCATCCCCTCCTCTCTTCTCCAGACCATCTCCGGTGACCTTCTCCCCTACCTCACCTCGCTGATCAACTCATCCTTGACCGCTGGCTATGTCCCTTCCGTCTTCAAGAGAGCGAGAGTTGCACCCCTTCTCAAAAAACCAACACTCGATCCCACTGATGTCAACAACTACAGACCAGTATCCCTTCTTTCTTTTCTTTCCAAAACTATTGAGCGTGCCGTCTTTAGCCAACTCTCTTGCTATCGCTCTCAGAATGACCTTCTTGATCCAAACCAGTCAGGTTTCAGGACTGGTCATTCAACTGAGACTGCTCTTCTCTGTGTCACGGAGGCTCTCCGCACTGCTAAAGCTAACTCTCTCCTCTGCTCTTGTCCTTCTAGACCTGTCTGCTGCCTTTGATACTGTGAACCATCAGATCCTCCTCTCCACCCTCTCCGAGCTGGGCATCTCCGGCGCGGCTCACTCCTGGATCGCGTCCTACCTGACCGGTCGCTCCTACCAAGTGGCGTGGCGAGAAGCTGTCTCCGCACCACGTGCTCTCACCACTGGTGTCCCCCAGGGCTCAGTTCTAGGCCCTCTCCTATTCTCCCTATACACCAAGTCACTTGGCTCTGTCATATCCTCACATGGCCTCTCCTATCATTGCTACGCTGACGATACACAACTAATCTTCTCCTTTCCCCCTTCTGATAACCAGGTGGCGAATCGCATCTCTGCATGTCTGGCAGACATATCAGTATGGATGACGGATCACCACCTCAAGCTGAACCTTGGCAAGACGGAGCTGCTCTTCCTCCCGGGGAAGGACTGCCCGTTCCATGATCTCGCCATCACGGTTGACAACTCCGTTGTGTCCTCCTCCCAGAGTGCGAAGAGCCTTGGCGTGACCCTGGACAACACCCTGTCGTTCTCCGCTAACATCAAGGCGGTGACCCGATCCTGCAGGTTCATGCTCTACAACATTCGGAGAGTACGACCCTGCCTTACACAGGAAGCGGCACAGGTCCTAATCCAGGCACTTGTCATCTCCCGTCTGGATTACTGCAACTCGCTGTTGGCTGGGCTCCCTGCCTGTGCCATTAAACCCCTACAACTCATCCAGAATGCCGCAGCCCGTCTGGTGTTCAACCTTCCCAAGTTCTCTCACGTCACCCCGCTCCTCCGCACACTCCACTGGCTTCCAGTTGAAGCTCGCATCTGTTACAAGACCATGGTGCTTGCCTATGGAGCTGTGAGGGGATCGGCACCTCTGTACCTTCAGGCTCTGATCAGTCCCTACATCCAAACGAGGGCATTGCGTTCATCCACCTCTGGCCTGCTGGCTCCCCTTCCTCTGCGGAATCATAGTTCCCGCTCAGCCCAGTCAAAACTGTTCGCTGCTCTGGCACCCCAATGGTGGAACAAGCTCCCTCACGACGCCAGGACAGCGGAGTCACTCACCACCTTCCGGAGACATTTGAAACCCCACCTCTTTAAGGAATACCTGGGATAGGATAAAAGTAATCCTTCTTACCCCCCCCCCCCCTAAAAAAAAAATAAAATATATATATTGTAAAGTGGTTATCCCACTGGCTATAGGGTGAATGCACCTATTTGTAAGTCGCTCTGGATAAGAGCGTCTGCTAAATGACGTAAATGTAAGATATCACGTTTCAACAGTAGAAGTAATTTTTTATATACAAAATGAAAATCACTGGAGGACATCTTTAACCTCTATTACAGTACACTCTGACCACAGACCTCTGGCCTAACTCTCCACACCCTGTAAGGTCACCATACCAAGTAATAACAAATATCATTGCCATTAGCAGCCTTTATCCAAGCGACTACATCATGCCGTGCATACATTTTGTGTATGGGTCCGGGATCAACCCAACCACCTTGGCTACAGTGCCGTGCTCTCCAAGCTACAGAGGACCACAGTGACTAAACATAAAGTTGCATCCCAGGGGTCAATGACAAAAAACAGTAAGTGGAATTTAAAGAAATAGTTTGGTAAACACTTTCCATCTGAACAAATAGTGACTGAACACAGTAGGGGTCGAAGCTCCATGGGACGCAGACAGGAAAGGAGTAAAAAAAAGTAAAACATTCCAATTCAGAGGACCTGTAGAGGAGCTCAATTAGGCAATACTTGATTCATTAGAAAAGGCCAAGGGGAAATTAAAATCGGGTT